CAGCAAGCAATGGCTGCAAAGCAGGGAACACGCTGGACCGGACACTAATCCTTCACAGGGGACACCCACACAGAAAGAGACATGCACACAGTCACACCAGAAGCCAATTAACCTACCAGCATGTGTTTGGATTGTGGGAGGAAACCCATAGAAACACAGGGAGAATATAGCACTCTAGGTCAGCGATTGACCATAGGACCCCCATACTGTGAGAAAGCAATGCTAACCGCTGCACCAGCATGTCACAGTACTAGCAGTAGTCTTTAAAAAATAATAGCTAGAGCTTTATAACAATAGCATTTTTAAAACAATCTCTTTATTACTTTATAAATAATTGTTAGAGTTTATGAATCTCAAACAAATAGAGCAGGTTTTCAGTTGTGACCATCTCCAATTCCAGAGTAAAGTCACTCATATTCCCCCACTGTTCTCCTTCAGTGGTGGCCTCGGCAGCTGATGAGCCCAGGCCCGGGGAGCATTATGTATTCATGGAAAGCTGCCAAGCATGAAATGTGCGCGGCTGTAGAAATCCAGCACGGTCCGAGACCGGGAAGGTACTGTAGGTAAAACAAGCCGCGCTCGATAATGCCCATTAATCAGCCCTGGCTTGCAAAGTGCTGGCTGCGCACCCTGTTTCTGCTCATCAGCACCCGCTGCATTGAGAGTCAGATGAGCTGCCTGCAGAAGCGCTTGTGGATTTTTGATGAAGGGGAGTGGGAGGTTGAGGCCCCTTGCTTTTCAAGATGATTTTCTTGAAGGGCTGCCTACAGCTCCGGGGGGGTAGGAGGTGAGAAATGCCTGCAGAGATTACCTGCAGAGGCCTGTCCACAGAACGCCACAGTTGCTCGCACCCGCAGAAAGCTCCACAGCTGAAACGTTGTGTTTCCTTTCTTCTCTTTTCAGCATGGAATAAACCTTTAACTTGTTCCTTCACAGAAGGCCACTTCCTGCAGTGCAGGATGAGCTCCAAACCTGGGAGGTTACACGGTCCCCTCTCGACTAAGAGCCAGAGTTCCCCTTGGCTCTTTTCCTCGTTTGGAAACAAAGACCGCAAGTTTGAGAGATGAGCTTGTTACCATTTGAACTAAGTGGTGAGCGAGCAGCACCACAATTAAGAGTGGTCTGAGGGAGCCGTGGTTCGTAGGAGTAATTGTTACTGTAGCTCAGCTCAGGCTAACTAATTTCTGTCCTCATTCTCATGCATCACAGTAAAGGAAACTGCTTTTGCAAGAGCAGCTGTTTTGTTCCGGCAGAGAATTTGGAATAACAAATAGTCCAGGCGCCACATTGTTTACAGTAAAAATTGGGAGGGGATTCCACAGAATCAAAATCAGCCCCTCAGGATGGACTCCCTGAAACAATTTCGTTAAATGTTATTGGGACGTTTAACTTAAGAACCACGTCAAACCCTGTTAACCTCCAAACCAAATATTATAAGGCGCCGAAGATAAAGTTCGAAGTTAGATAAAGCTAAGCCCTGCAAGTTGGATCCACAGAATTCTGAGCTCAAGGCCCAATTACAAGAATGTGATCAGTTTAAACAAAGCCTGAATTTAGCAAATTCTCAATGTGCTAAAAGAGCCCCTACTGGTGATGGTTTTGTGCTGATTTTTCAAGGGCATTCAACACTTCCACACCACAGAGCTAGCTTTCTGGGCTTCTGAACCTACAGCCCATTGGGGCTGTTTGGTCTCAGCACTCAGAGGCATAACTGTGATGCTGGTTCAAATCGAAAGTCCAAGAACATACCCTGCAAGTCATATATACGTGTGCAGACGTTGCCTGTTTAAGCAGTCCTAGTCTGTTTACCACTCTTTTCTGAAGCTAAGGATTGTACATGGTTTCATCCAGAATGAGATCTTGACCTAAGTCAATGAGCTCTTCCACTTTTTTATACAAAACAAGAAAAGAAATAGGATGTCCATTTGTCCTTGTGTGACACACCCACCCCCCACCCCCAATCTTCTCTATCATCTCTGATGACACCACACCAGTTCTCATTGGCATATCTGTCTCTGCAATGCAGTTTGGTATTCAAAGAGCTTACATTCTGCTCAGTTACCCTTCATGTTGATGGATGAAAGAAAAAGTCAGATCACTAATCTGTTTTCCTCTCTATTGGGTTAGGGTTTCCATGAATGCCAGCTTATGAACAAATTCTGTACTGCTGTATTAAGGCTATTCTCAAAAGACCCCCCTTTCAGGATTTACTGTACTGGGTATTCAAATAGGATTATTGAACAGCAGTGTCACTAACTTAGTGGGTTCTGATTTGGAAACAGACCAGGATTGTAAGACATATACTGTATCACTGGTACTGCCAAGCTGTTGACTTGCAACTAACATAATGCTTCATACATCAACCTCATTAACTAAGTAAAACTACAATCCATCCATTTTCTAAATACTTCTTCCAATTCAGAACTTGCTCTTCCAATCAGAGCAAGCAATGGACGCAAGACAGGGTACACCCTGGATGGGATGCCAGTCCTTTGCAGGGCAGACAGACACAATCATTAAAACACACCAGGGGCCATGTAATTTTCTCAGAAGCCAATTAACCTACCTGTACGTCTTGGGACTGTGGGAGGCGACCGGAGCACCTGCAGGAAACCCAAACAAGCATGGGATAGAACAACAAACTTCACACAGACAGCACCCTAGAGCCCCTGTGCCACCATGCCAATACATTATAGATGAATGTCATTATTGAACTACAACTACAGAACAATGTTACAGACCATTTTTATTTATTACTATTATAATAAAAGTTGAAATGAAGCAAGATTATTAATATGGTAATCAACATCATTGCTGATTCAAGCAAATAATATATTAATTATACAGTACATTGCAATACATTATAGATGTAGTAATAATAGTATCACTGTAGTATCACTAAGTACAGAACCACAACTACAATGCAGGTAGGTCATCTCAGAACAGAATACTAAATACATACAATTTGCACTGCACGACAATAAGCTCCATTATCCTTCTTTATTGCATTAATATTAAACAAGAAGGAATGCTATTTTTAATTTCAGTTGCAACAACAGTATATTCAATCATGGACTATTATCATAACTGAATTAGATTTTCCATGTGATGTACTACTGTATAGATAAGAACACTATCAGTACTGATTTACAGCTACAATACAGGACATTATAGACCAGTATCTCTACTGAACTAAAACTAACTGCAGTACCAATACCATCAATTGTAAAGCAATATTATACAATCCAGTTTAGAACAGACATGTATCTCTTAGGGGTTGCAGCTACAGTACAGCAGATTACAGCTTTGTAGACAGGAGATAGAATGCAATAAATTGCGGACAACTGTCACTAAATCGCATTACACCTGTAGTTATTTTCCCATTGTGGTGCAATTCCAATATTCCTAAGGCAGTTTTCTGAGATATTGTAGAAGGCTGTTAAGTCTTAAATAGTTAGTTTACATGGCAAATAAAGACTTAAACAAGAGTACCCACATTGTCGCACGCAATGAATAACAGGACATTTGAACAGAATTAAATTAAACCCCAGACAACTGCAGAGGATGTAATATATTCCTTTTAAATTGCAACTGCAACTTGTGTGCATGTCAGATTTGGAATACATTGCTTTGCAGAATAAAACACTGATAAGGAACCTTTGACATTTAATCTTCCGCGGTGGAAGACTGCAGACATTGTGAAATACTGCATCTCATAGGCATTAAATAAAACTGATCATTTATTATTGATATTGTTTTTTTTTAGCTTTGAGGGGAAAAAAATGGATTCAATAAAACTTTGATCCTAGAAGCCTTTTGCAAACTGTGTCCTTTGTGTGATGACAAGGAGGTAACACAACAGCCAATGATGGATGGAGGTTTTTTTTAAGCTTTGCACACTTTTATCAAGCTATCAAACTGAAATGACAAAGAATACATCTTATTCTTGTGTTCAAAGGAGAAAAATCAGTACCAGACACAGAAGAACATAATGGAGTTGGATAATGTTTTTTTTACTGCTTGCTCGTTAACAGCAATCCGCTCTGCACTGCTGGTAGTATTGAACCCTTCCTGTACCTAACGCTGCACTTCAGACAGACTTGCAGATCACAGATCTGACGAGTGGTCTGAAAAGCTATGTGCTCAAACCCTAATGACAGAGGACAAGAAGAATGATTCAAACAGTGAGCCTTACTGAGGTAACTTACTTGGCTGAGGGGAAAAACAAGCCCTCTGTAAGGAGTTGGCTGTCAGACCCCCTTGCGCACACACTTTAGTGAGGAATAAGCCTGGGAGCTGCTTCAAGGGTGGACATTGAATGGAGGGAGGGATGTGAGACAGCAGGTAACATTTAATAGGTAGGTAGTTGGAAGAGGGAGAGGTTAGGGTTTGACCTTCTCCCGAGCTTTAGTGTAAAACTCCATCACTTAGAAAAGACCACTTACAATAACCGTATAAGCCAGATGCATGGATGGAGTATGCATGATTGGGTTAACTCTCTTAGACTAGGAGTTTTCCTTTGGAGGTTGAAGTCTGTTCCCACACAGCATCATGGATAGCATTTCTACTGATTTCAGAAGGTCTGTAGTTCCAAAGGTCATTTTCTTCGCTGTTTTATTTCACTGGTATGATGCTATCACAATAAATAATTGCATTAATTTAGCTTATGAGGGTATTACTTAAGAAAAAAATAATTTGGCAAAAAAGTCCCGTCAGGGCTAGTTTCTCTTCAGAGAAGCTCTGAGCTACTCTCCACCAAATCTCCTTGACTTTAACAACTCACATTCACTGCTGCACAAATATCCCTCCTCTCTTGACAATTCAAAGGTACAAAGGGATCGATCTGATTATTTATCCAGTAGGGAATGTTGGTTTGAACTGTATTATATTAAAATTAATAGCAGTCATGATGTAGGTCTTTTGTAAAGTGCTTGGTTAGGTTTTTATTGATAGAGGCAGACATGCAACAGAGCGTAAACTCTTCTTTATTTTCTTTTTAGAAGCTGACTGCAGCTGATAAGCAGATCAGCACGTTCCTGTACTGGAGAGACAACTGGAGGAACTCTTTCAGGTGGCTGTGTGCTGTGAGATATCGACCTCTGCAGCTTAACTTTCTAAAAAAAGCATTGGTATATATGTTAATATTTCCAGGATGTGTAGCTGTACTTTATGGGTGTCATATTCCACCCCTTGAATGTGTTCTGTAATAAACTGCAGAGAGAGAAAAAGAGGTGATCGACGGGGAAGGATAATGAGTATTGGAGAGGAGCTGGCAGAGTGCATTGGGTGCCTGACGTCATGTGGATTCCTGGATGTCGGAGGTATTTTTGGAATATAAAATCACAGAAAGGACAAGCAAAGGTTAAGCAAGAACAAGGGCTTGGCACTACTCCACTGGAGCCTACCAGGCAACACAACTGCACTGCACACAGAGAGACACTGATGCCCAGGTGTAGCTACGCCCCCTAGAGGGAAGACCAAAAATAGCTGAAAATAGTGACATACAGACCTATACAGACACATAGACAGCACACTGAGACAACCAGACAAGATACAGGCATGGGCACAAAGCGTTCATGCTTAGAAGCAGATTGACTTGGATATAGTAACACTTCATTGTATTGATATTGTTCAGGAATAAACACTCCTGGAGTACACAGGAGAGCATCATCACTCATTAATTACCACTTTCTTTCTGAACACGTGTACCCTTCATGCTGATATTTATGTAGCTCCTCTTCCACATGCATATGAAAGGCTGTTCAATTCTACAAGCCAGACAACATGGGTATAGAAAAGGCACATCGTGTTTAGCTACATTGTCCCTAATTAAGCAACAATATGGTATATAAAGAGAGAATTTTATATTGTATACTTGGATTTTAGAAAGTTTTCACTAAAGTTCATGAATTGTGATCAGTAGGCAGTCAAGGTAATGTGTCTACTGGATTTAAGAATGGGTTAAAGGTTTAGGAACAGAGAGTTGTTCATTGGTTATTCCTTGGCTGAGGATGATTGTCTTACGTGAACCCAATGGTGACCGACCAGATGAATACGGGATCTGTACAGTCTGTGGTTGAGTAAAGGCTGTCTCAGGTCCTGTCTGGTCATGTACTGTGCAATCCGGTGGTGGTGAGCTCTCTTCAACACTCTCACTTTGCATCCTTGTTCTGACATTTTTGGGTCACGAAGTACTGGGCTCCTTTCCAGAAACTCTTCCACCATCTGCTTCAGTCAAGGGTCATAGCCTCTCTGGGCTTGATATCGATGTTGCATTTCTTCTTGTTTGCTCCTCCTGTAAATTTGAAACTTTTCTTCTGTCCTCCTCAGGGGTGGTTGCCTTGGCCAACACAAACACAAAACCTACAGTAAATGTAAGAAATAAAAGTTCAAGCAGCATGTTCAAGCTACAAAGGAACAGGTAAGGGTTTATTCCATGTTGACAGGAAAAGAAAATAGACACAACTCTTTGGCTACGGAGCCTTCTTCTTAGCTGTGCCTTTGTAAGAAATAAGGCTTCTTGGAACACATCCCCTTTGAACCCAGGCTATAATTGCCTCTGTTGTCCTTCATAATGCATATACAGTCTAAATGAGGTATTATGTTTTTCTAATTTATTCAAACATAATGAAGCTATGCAAGAATTGCATCAGGTCTCAGAATGAGAAGCAATTGTTGAAAATCTGAAAGAGTTTAAATAATCAAGGCACATCTGGAGTATTAGGGTTAGACATTCCACGATCCTTATCCAAACATCAGAGAGGAATTCAGTTACTACTTGTGTAGTATTCAGCGAGATCATGTTGGGATTCTGGGGCAAATGTTTAATTAACTATTAATTAATTTGGGGAATAACAATCAAAATTCCCTGAAGACTGACCCCTGTGTCCCCCAACCTTGCTAAATGAGAATTTCAACAGTGTCAAGAACATGGCTGGAGGCTTTGTTCAAGCGCTCCATTAAACACTATTAATAAGAGTAGGCTTGTCAATCAGTTTTCTACCACACTGCCTCCCATTTTTTAATCATCATCCCTTCTTTTTTATGTTACTGTCTTTGTATCTCATCCTGCCCAAGGTCACGCCAATATCTGTGACTGTAAATCAAAGCCAGAGACAGAGAGTCCTTTACAGAAGTGTCCCACTGTCGCCTCTCAAAGAAAGAGGGAGAGAGAGCTACGTTTTGTACCCTCCTGTGAGTCAAATCTGCTGATCCAGACATTGCTGGCTGAGTTAGGAAGGGACAGTGTTATATAAACATGTGCAGATATCTGTAAACTGTAGGGATGTTTTCCTGTGTGTGTGTTTTTGGAGCAGACCATCCTTGGACGCCTGCAAACTCCTGTTGGCTGTCTAACACACAGGTGTTCAGGTTAGCTTTGCTTCTTTCTCTTGCTGGTTCCCAGGATCACTAAAGGGTTCTGATAACTAACCAGGGGACTAACTATAGATAAAAACTGGTAATGAACAAGGACTGCGGCAGCCTCCTGTTCACTGAGGTAGTCTTTGTGCTATAGTATAGGGTTTGCTAGCCAGACATTAAAAGATTAATAAGTATGTTGAGAAACAATTCCAAATCCAATTCTGATTTTTTTTGCCCACCCAGAACTACTGGTTGATTATTGATTTGCAAAGTTCTGTGCTGTAAGTTAAACAAAAGTCTCACGTGCGCCGAGATCCAGTGTTGAACATACTGTAGTAACCCTTCTGCATGTTTGCCACAACAGACTGTATTGTCAATACTGTACTGGTGGTACCAAATCAAATTGTATTGTCACATTTGGCAGCACATACTGTATGACAGTAAACTTTCATTGAGGAATCTTGTGAAAACTACCAGTATACAAGAAAAAAAACGGATTTTTGTGGGGGGGGGAGTAATTCATTTTTATAAATTATCTAAGGAAAAATAAGAAAAAGGAGAAAAAAATGAGGAAATAAATATGTTAATCAAGCAATTAAAAGCCAGGAGATGAGAAATGAAAGATGATAAAACTCAACACAATTGCAAGCAAATTCCCTTTATGAGCTCAGAGACGCACTTACATACTGCTGCCTCCCAATTCTCTCTGCTGCAGTGAATCATGCAGGGAACTTTACACACACAGCAGCAGAACGCAGAAAAACACCTCACTTAGCAATTAATGGCCAGCAAACAATGTAGATGGAATCCATGAATGCTGATTGGCTTTAAGCCTTTCCTGGTGCTTGTTTAGAATGACTCTGCTGCTTCAACATTCAATTCAACTGAGCAAACCAGCTAGTAAGTCCAACAAACAGAACCAACAACACAAACCAAAGAACAGCTTTGTATAGTCTGAGAAGTCAGCCCAGTGCTCCAGCCATCTTAATTTCAAAAGCAAAGTTCATTTCTGGTGTTGACCAGTCTATGCAGCTGCAAATTAGGCTATAACTCCAAAGCACTGTCTATTAGGTTGACTTTAATGGTCCTGCACAACCTTAGATAGAAATCAGAGAAGTGTGTGTGTGTGGAGGGGGGGGGGGCTCAGTCCATTTTAAAGATACACACTAGGAACATAAGACAGAGGAAAAATAGGGTAGTGGGAGAGAGGGAGAGAATGAAAGAGAGAGTACTCTGAGCTTGATTTGATCAGCTAGAAACAGCACATACTGTAATCCTGAAATTGTGAAGATCCTTGAACCCAGCAGAGCTTTGACGCCGAAGAGAAACAGGGGAGCCGAGCTCTGAGACCATTGGAGGTCCTTGATAATCTACTGCAAAACTTGCAAGAAGCAATTATACTGATTGTGGGGATTCTCATGCATAAAAATCACCTCCTTTCCTATTTTGTTTTCTTTACTGATCAATGCAAAAGCAGACCATTGCCTATGTTTTAATTTCTTTGCTGTACAAGAGGGATGCTGTCTTTGAACACCTACAGTACCTTGCTGAAGTATTCCTAAAGGGTAGTTGTTGTTTTTTTTTTGGTCAGTGAGGAGTGATGTTTTGAACTGGCCAGGCTCTCAGACGTGAGGGAGGTGTGTGTGCCATTTTAAAGTTTCCTCTCTCCCTCCCCACAAAACTTCGAAGCCACGGGAATGGAAACTCTGCAATGAGTCACTGTGTGTCTGACTGCTAAAAGCCCTCCTGCTGCACTGCCAGCACAGAGAAGGGAGGGGTTGGGGTTTCAGAGAAGGTATTGAAAAGTAACAGAGTAGAAATATCCTTATTATAGATATTATCTTACATTTGGCACATTTAAGCACGGTGCAGTAACCACTTGACTGTAGCAGCATACTCACTATATGCAGATCTTTTGTTGGATTGGAATTGCAGTACATTTTATTCTGCAAGATGTATGTGTGATCACAGAAAATCTAGCAAAGCAGAACAACCTTGTAAAATTACCAGCCAGAAGCCTAATGCAACTTGTAGAACTAATGTGTGTTAAAATGTGTTAAAAGAAAAAAAAAATGTACCACTTGTACTGGTGCCTATTTAAATGACTAGAAAAAAGAAGTAATATCATTCAGAAATTTGCAAAGCAGAAAATGGGAAGCTTTATACTGTATTCCTATAAGGAGACATTACAAATCCAAATAATAAAGTTAAGTTTAACATAGAAGGGATTCATCGTTCAGAACCGTTGAAATTGGCTGGTGCACGCAATGACTGCTTCATTCAGTTGAATGAAAGCATTCCTGCTCCATTTGCTGATGTTACTAATTGCATTAAAAAATACATGTATAAAATCCTCATATTGTCTCTAAAATTGTACACCATGGATTACTCTGAGAAGGAGAGCAAATCCTTCAGGTCTGAGAATTTAAAATTCTCAAACATTTTATTACTGTTTAGCCTTTGCACCTTACACAGTGCTATCTCATTCCCGTGAAAGAAAACATTGATTATATTGATCTAGAAATCAGATTAAAAAATGAAAGTTGCTAATCACAGAGCCATTAGTTCTTTCCTGTTTTTTTAAAAACTAATATGATTTTACTGGGCTCTGTGCTTTTTTCTCTTGTACATACTGTAGATGCACAGTGGTGCAGTGGTTAGCATTGCTGTCTCACTGCCTCGCTGCACTGAGGCTGTCATGACCTCGCGTAATAACACACAAGCCTCCACCACACCTTCCAGCTCCAGACTATTTAACAGCAGCACACAACTACTTCAATGCTCAGTATCGGGTATCCCTGTTGAGATTCATGTCCTGCCTTTGCAGCGATTCACCTGATTTCTCTATTGTGTGTTCCTAGTTCCCGGACTTGAATTCCCCTTGCCAACAATTCTGGATTTCGATTTATGGCTAAGTACACTTGGTTTTCTACACTCCTGCTTCTCCTACACTTCTCGCTACCCCATAGGGTCTATCTACTATCAACTCCGCCACGCGTTGGTGTGACAGGGGCCTTGGGTTTAGTAACAGACCTGGGGTGCTATCTGTGTGGAGTTTGCATGTTCTGCCTGTGATCACAGGGGTTTCTTCCAGGTAACAGGTACTGCTTTCTAGGAAAATTGGCCCCAGTGTGAGTTTGTCTGTGTTTGTGTCTGTTTGCCCTGTGATGTGCTGGTGTCCCATCTGGGGTCTATCCTGCTTACACCCAGTGCTTGCCAGTGTGAGCTCTGGCTCCCCCATGACCCTGTGTTGGATGAACTTGTTGAAGAATGGACAGGTGGATGGATGAATAGTCTATCAGATGTGTACATTTCAGAAAATGCTGCAGAAAACTGGTCTCTGTTCCATAAAAGTCAGTTAAACCTTTCAGTTCAGCCATCAGTTAGATCTTTCCCTGAATATTAAAAACAAGGGGCAGGGTATTGTGAATCTCAGGGGCCTGAGTCACACAAATATGCAAATATAGCTGTAAAGTAAGAAATTGCTCTTTATTTACAGTGTGGAGATAAAAAGAATAGGCTTTAGCTACACTTCTACAAGTGTTGCTTTCTATAAACTGCCGATCATCCCAGCTGCTTACTGGCTCCAAAGCCAAGTCTGTCTCTGAAATGTCTCCAAAATGTTAGCTCTCTAGGGGATCTTTGATTGGTTGCCTTCCTGGTTCTTTCTCCCTCTTGTGCAGTACATAACAGAGGCTCATCTCTCCTGCTTTTACCTGTCATCTGACCATCTGTCTTTCTCCAGTTGGTCAGGTGACTGAGGTCATTCCCACTGCATTCTGGGGAATGTGGTTTAGACAGTTGTCAATTAAACAATTAATTTCTACATAAATTAAAATTAGGATTTTCTAACCTATGAATCACCTATGAGTCTGGATAAAAGTATTATAATTCTGTACCTAAGAGGCATGGGTGAAACAAAGATTAGAGGACACTGGGTCCTTCCGGAGCTGTGTTTGAGACCCCTGGTCTGGAGTGAGCACTGCTGGCCTTTGTAATATCAAACAGCCTGCAAGTCCATTGAAACCATTGGTTTTGCCAGTAGGTATGTTGATTCAACTAATTTTTAAAAGCAATAATTCCAATTTACATGTACATGTAAAAAAACTCTCCTTCTCTACTCCACGGCTTATATATAACTATAATAACTGTTTAATCCTTTGTATTTTAATTGTACTACAACTGCTGTAATTGCAGTTCTAACTTGTAGATTGTAGCTTCCAAACCCTCCCTCACATAACTGATGTAATTGCTGGATTAATTATACAAAAAAGAGGAAAAGTTCAGTCATGACCTCTTGACATCTCATAGCTCCTAGACCAGTGGTTCTCAGTCCTCATCTGTGTGGACCCCAGTCTCTGTTCATTTTCGTTCCACATTGGCTGTTAATCACACTGCTAATTGGTGTCTGTAACCAATTTGCCTGCCCGTTTCGACATTTTTGTGCCTTTGTTTAGTAAATAACCTAGCTAAAGTACATTATTAACAACAATGTCGGCATGCGGAACTTCATGCTGCTATACAGTATCTCAACTTGCAAATTAAGAGTTTATGCAGCACTTCTCCAGCTTCCTCCCTTATTTCTGTTTCACACGCGGACAGGCGACCAGTTTGTGAGGACAAGGCCCAGTTGGGAATGATACTATGCTGTGCACTTCCAGAGTGAGGGATAGTTTTTTCTTTTGCTTCAGTCCAGTTGGGCACATTTTCTGTTAACACACCCGAACGAGGGCAGCTCAGTCACTAGAAGTCACTAAAGCAGTACAACGTTGATACGGACTCCAAATCCCATTCAATATTTTACGAGCTAAAGGCAGCTTTACAGTTAGGCCTCAAAGAGAAAAGTGAAATCAATTAAGCTGTGATTAAGAACCAGAGGACACAGAGGTCGCCCAGGATCAGGACTGAGCACGACTGCAGAAGATAGTTATCTTGTTGTGTCAGAACAGCTGTCCTTGGCTGCTTACTGTTTATGGTCCCCGAAGTGTTGTGATACAATAGAAGCTATTTAATATTCATCTCCATAACACTTACCCACCGCAAACCACAATAAATCATGAAAGTGTTCCTTGTAATAAACATATACAGTAGGACATTTTGATCAGGAATAAGTGTGAAAATACCATCTGTCATTAAGTCATTTTTGGATTACACATTGACAGCACTAGGAGGCTGGGGAATGACTCCTGCCTTTTTTGTTAATTTCAACATGTACAAATGTCATTAATAGTACTGCAGGGGCTGGCAGATCTCAGTACTTATGAAGACTACACTGCTGAAAAGTAATGATCTAGAAATTTATTTGGACTGTCTATGCATACAAAGCTACTGCAAGATTAAATATAATGTAGAAACGCATCTTTTGGATAGAGTGTTAAATTAAACACAATGTCAAATAAAACCCCACAAGATGTCTAAGTCATCTTAAGCACATCTGCTTATTAAAGAACTTCAGAGAAGTGCTGTTGTTATTAATGGTTTAAGAATAAATCATTGGTCCCATAGATTGAAGCGTCAAATAAAATTCTGTAATACAATTTTTGATTTGAACAATTATAAGTTGTGTGTCAATGGGATGTGTTTTGATATATTTGTCAACAAATACAGTATATTGATGAAACCATTTTGATAAATTAGCAAAAGAGTTTTATGAACTACTGTATATTCTAAACTGATCCATATTAAGTATGTACACTATTAGATATTATGCACAAAATTTGGTATAATGCCTACCACATGCCTTTCTCATAAACAGAAATGGAAATTTGACTCCCATTGCAGAGCAGCTGGAGTCATTTCAGATTTTGTGACCTGCAGGCTCTTGCTTTTAACCTGAGTGAGAGCTGCTACCCATTTGAGCAGATTAACCAAGAGCTACATTTCTTCTGATCACAGTGTGCAGTTGGAGGAGGACATTATAACTCCATTTGTCTCTCCTGTCAGAACAGAAATTCACAGAGACAGGAGAGGAACTGTTGGTGAATACATTACACTGTGGAATGACTCCTGCTGTATTGGAAGTAGAGATTGCCTTTGGGCCAGAGACATGCAGAGATGGAGTAAAAGCCAGGTTAAAGGCCAGGAGAGGTCAGTAAGATATGCAGGAGAGGGCAAAAATGATCAATTGCAAATTCTGAACCGAAAATCTGAGCCCACATGAAATAATGTTACACAATATTAGTCAATGGGCCTAGCTGTTTTAAGCAATTGTATTTCTGGTATTTTCCACAATCTGTATCCATGGTAGTAAGATACAATTACATCATTTAGATCATTTTCATCCTAATGAACATCTTCAGCATTATCCTCACCAAAAACATGTTAATTGCAAGAAAACATTACTTTTTATTATTTTCAACTTATTATAATATTAAACGTACTATTTCTGCAAAAATAATGAAAAATAAGAAGAAGTTCAGATAATGAGCCATAGAATTTGACAGCACATTATTAAAGGTTAATTATCTTTCCTGGTTATTAGCTTGTGGTGGGTTACCTAAGATAGTTCTCTATCTTATAGAGTGACCTATTATTCATGTAGTATGAATACTGAAATTCAAACACAAAGCATAAAAAATAAAAAAATGAATTCTCCACTGATTTCTAGAGTTTTGACAGCAGCACTGCTAAGAATGTATATTTTGCAAAGGATGAAAACAAGGCAGGAATTTTTCATGTTGTATCTGAGAATCATTCAACAAGTTGGTCCTAATTTGAAGTGACATCTCTTACATTTGTTTAAACAGGGGTGGGGAAGATAATATGAAAACTCTTTATAAGCAGCCGGTTTTTAATTTTATACGAGCCATCACCTGATATTAATCATAACCATAATCATAATAAAATAATCCCCAAATTTCAAAACATGTAATACTGTATGTTAGTAAAACTACTACTAATGCAGGAATACTTTCAGTTCAACTGCTGCTCTCGTTGATACTGTTGTTGGCAATGATTTTCAGTCTTTCCTTTCATTTCCTATCACAGAAGCATGAAAGACTAATAAAATTTACTAATACTGTAGAATGTGCAATAATTAGTTTATTAAGTGGGGAAAAGATAAGCAGTCTTTATCTCAATATAAAACATGCATATTCAAGCACAATTAATATGCAGGTAAGTTTAAGATCAATAACTCTTTGGGCTCATGCATGACTTTATTTACATTTTAAATTGTGAGCACATAGGTTTGTTTATTGATTGAGTTGCATGTCTCTTTGGGATTTCAAAATCCCGAGCTCACGTCATGAGCTTTCATAGAAACAGATGGTGCTTAACATATATTATTTAAGCCGATTTTAAATTGCCATTACTACTATTTTTGCTAATATGTTTTATACGGCAAACATTGGCTTAATGCTCTGAATTCTTTCATGTTTTTATTCTTATATTCTTTTTGACATGTTGCATTTTTTTTCTTGTTGAAATAATTCATACAAAGTGCCATAAACAACTTAATTGCCTTTACGAACAGAGGGTGGTTGGATTATTCCCCACTTCAGTAACAAAGATTACTAGACATGCTGTGTGGAAGAACAGACTGCCTTGAATGATTCATTGCTTTAAACCTCTGAATAAAATTGGCCATTAATGACGTGTGAAGAACCACAGTACTTCATTCTTTCAGTGACCATTAAGACTTGGGCCAGCCAGTACAGTGCACTGTCACAGACTGTGTGACACTAGTGGGGCTATTGTGACTTAAGGATGAGGAAGGACATGGCAGGGAGTCAGAGTATGATGAGTGTGATGATTTCTGTATTTGACAGAAATGTTCTGTGTGGCCCTGATTTCCATAGTTAAAGTTTTCCTATTTGCCTGTGTCTGTTTTATGTAAAAGGTAAAAGCTTTACTTAGAAGTGAAACATTTAAATGTATTATGTATAGTTAAATAGATTATTGTAGCCCACTACATTGAACTGTGCTGTGTTGTTCTTTATTTTACAGTGATGACTTATCTCCTCAACAGCCAGCATTATGTCAGCATCATTCTGCTGGTTATATTCATCCTTTTATTCATTTCAGTTTGAAAATGGAGGACATGGTGACCAGGAGGCCCTGGGTCGATGCTCCGAGTAATGCAACGCTGGTACCATATTGAACAGCAGCCAGGAGCGCTGACTCAGACCCCCAGGGACCCCCTGTGTCCTCCAGCCTCTCAGCCAATGAAATTGGGTCTTGTCCCAGCCCATGAGACGAGGATCGTCACCACGGAGATGACAGTATGAACAGGAAAGTGGAGATGCAAGCACATCGTCGCCAGCAGAATCTTGATGCTTTTCAACTCCATAGAACTACTGAAATGGTCTCAACCAAGAAACACTCCACTACATTACTGCATCAAAGTAATGTGTCTAGTGAATTATGGGAAACACACAAATTAAAAATTACCATAGCACGTTCACAACATTTGCAACTGAATTGCTCCAAATACTTTTAAGTCTAAATAGTGTATATTCAGTCAAAGCAAGCAAACAGGCTGGTTCTCCTTTTTTAGAGCTTGTTGAAGTGGTAGAGTGTCTGTGAAAGTGTGAATAGTGGAAGTTAATTGTATTCTGCTGTTGTTTGACAATAAAAGTAATTTTAACGTCTGTCTGACTATATTACTCAAAATAGGATGAAAAATGATTGGAGTCTTTATGTCGCTAATAACACTAATGTTATACTGTATGTCCTGACCTTTAAAAAGGTCACAGATCAAGGTTGACATCTTTTTCTTTGAGATTTGGGAAAGTCACACAAGTAAAAATAATTATCCCTAAACCTCTCATGCACACATTATTTCCATAGAAAGAGAATCCATTAAAGCTGAGTTATGGGTAAAGACAGCTGACTCCATATTTATTCATGCCTCTAAATTAAGTGACTAACCCAAAAACTACTGCTTCCTGACAGATGGATTTTTCCCACTTTTAGTATACGGATACCTGATCATTGCCTTATCTGAGAGCCCGAAACATGCATCCAGGCTCGTACATCCATAGAGATGATTGGTTATTTTACAAATGACAGTTTAATTAGACATCGAATCTAGTTGCTCTTTGTCCTATTTACAAAAAAAGTATACCAAAGGTATTTATTAAGAATTATTTGGTCTTAATTGATTTGGTTTTGAAGTGTCTCGTAGTAAAAGCGGCTACTGTATCTGCCACTGTAAGTAGCTTTTATTAACCGGAAAAGTTACTGAAATTGGTTATGTAACATTAGCACACTAATACACCAAGGGAAAGTATATTCTAAAACTGGTAAAGTATATTACAAAAAATACCCCATGAGCTGCTCCAACCCAAAGACACAAAATGCTTAAGGGTTAATACATCCCTTATGGGCTTAGAAAAAGCCAATGGTTCGGGTATCTGAGGGAAATTTCCAGCCACAGCGAAGTGGATGTGTAAGTCTTCACATACAGTACATCTCTAGTGCTCTGGGATGTGCAGTAGCCCAGTGGTAAGGCTGGCTGGATGAGACCCTTGGATGGATTAACTATTGACTACAGAACAGGCTAGATGGGCTGAATGGGCTCATTATAACCTTTCTTATGCATTGGTGTCACAGTGGGGCACCTGCCTGAACATTAACAAATTACTTGTCCCTTTCCCTTATTTATTGCAATACCCTCACCTGCAAGACTGAAACAAAGATATTTCTTGTATCCCTGGAAGATGTCCCAGCTTCCAATATTTAAATGAGGAAAGGTACTCCAGATGTCTGGCTCGGAGCTGCAAAAAACAGCAGAAATGAAAAATGGCCACAGTTAAGTGGATTATGGTACTAATGGGGAAGGTGGGAGGAGGGTCAGGTCACCCATAAAATGAATAAATTCATTATAAGAGTTCTGCTCGTCCTTCCCAGGCAGTTATAAATAAGCCGGGACTTTGTAAAGATGACAGTTGTGCTGTCATCTCAGGCTGCTGATCTCAGTGTTGGTCCCCACCCTGCAACTTGTTAGTGCAGACCTCTACAGAGCTGCAGTGACTTTCTGATAAGGTGCAAATGCCCCCTAGACACTTGTCTTACGGTGCAGTTCATGTACATATTTTGACGAGCCTTCTTACTGTCGTCTCTACAAGCTTGACCCAGTTCAGGCTGTCACGTGGTGGTGCACCATGTCACACGATGTCATCAGTGTTCGGTGATGTCATCCGATTTGTAATACTGTGCAACACATCATTGGCTCATCAGGCAGATTCTAAAGCCAAGCAAAAGATTGAGGTTTTTCTATCTTACACGGGACAAGATCTTCACTTCACTTGCGGAACCTGTCCTTCACATGTCAGACTTCGTGCATTTATTGTTCGATTTTGCAGATACAAAAATGTTTTATTTTTTGCTCCATCCTGTTGCCCTGTGATGGTCTGGCGTCCCATCCAGGATGTTACCCTACCTTGTGCCTCTTGCATGCTGGGATAGGCTCCAGCTTCCCCCACCACCCTGTACTGGAAGAAGTCGTTAGAAAATGGCTGGATATATCCTGTGCATTTAAGACTGAAGCAGGGACTCATAGGACCAAGTGAAATTGCACGACTGATAAAAACACGTCATCACTCGGTTGGTTGGCCAGGGAATGGTCTGGCCCACCAGATACCAGTCAGAGGTGCTAATGCAGCCAGAGGAAGGAAACAGAGTGTGTTCTGTCAGACATGCTGAAAACTCTGCGCAAATGAAGCATGACAACGGAGCATCAGAGGCACTCCGAACTGGTCCAAGCACGGACAGAGCAATAGAGTAACATTGCAGGCACTGCACCTGGGCAGGAGCTGCAGGAGTTAATTGAGAGGGCATGGGGTCTGGAGGCATGGGGTGATGGGATAGGGTGGAAAGGTGGGGGAGAGGTGGTGATGATGTCATGTGGAGCTCCTCAGTGTGCTCACAGGAGAGTCTCAGGTCCAGTGGGAGGGGTTGTCCAGCATCTGCAGTTTATCTGCAATGCATCAGCAGCTCTGCATTCATCTCTCTCTCTAACAGCACCCCCCTCCCCCCCTCCACACACACACTGCTCCCTCTCTTCCTCTTACTGGAGGTCATGCATCAGTAGCACAGAGACACAACATGGAGAAACTGCTCAGCAGGCTCCTGATTGTGTGTGAGAGAGGGAGAGAGATGGACAAAGGGAGAGAGGGGTGGATTAAAACATCCAGAATAATGTCTAGGTGCTGCACAAGACACACACTACACAGGGCATGAGAGAGTGTGAGCAGCTCTGAGCCCTGATACAGCAGGAAAAAACAACAGAGACCACTGCTGTTGCAATGATAGTCACACATTTGGAGCTAGTTTAATTTCTTGTTTAGAGCTTTGTCTTGTGCAGATTACCGTAATGGATGTCTTGGAAAACCACAAACTGTGTCTCATTTTTCCACGTCGTGCATCTATTTAAGACACCGACATATACAGTGACTATTCTTTGGATCAGTGTACTATACATTAGGATCAAAAATCAGGTGTTTGATATTTTGTTTAAAACTCATGAAACATTTAGTAAATTAATATTAAGACACAAATGATGTAACAGGAATATACAACGTTATCTTATTATTGCATTCTAAGCATAAAGAAAGATGCAAAAACATCATTGAGCTCTGGCACAAGCTTCACAAGAAAACACAATACCAGGAGGAAACCTGCTTTTTGCTGTCCTATAGCCTAAACACAGACTGCTGGATTAGTCTCAAAGGGAGTCCCAATACAGCAGTGTGCGTCCTGTGTTTTAGCCAATGGCACCTTCATCTCAGGACCATGGCACACCACACTGTATAACACTGCATGCAAATAGATGCATGGGATAAACGGTATCTGGACTTTTGTGATTTCCCTCTATTGACATTCCCAAACAGCCTGTTTTAGGCTGGTTCACACCACACTATTCATTTCCTTTTAGGATGAAGTTGCTGGTTAGGCCTGGACTCCACAGTTCAGAGATTGCTGGTTCCCATGTGGGATCCAACTCATTTGAGGTTGCCCATTTCAAGCATGGGTTGTGGGCATGTTTGAGAATACCAGTGCCAGTCCCCCACATCCCTCTTTACCTTTGCTCACAGAGCAGGACCAAGTGAATGCCCTTCCCAGTTCCTAATTTAGGGGCTCCTTATATATTTTGCCTTCATTGCTCTTGCAGTGATGGAATGGCTGTGGTGAACGAGAGAAGCTGATTAGAAATTCCATATTCCAAACCTGGGTTTGGATATCCAGTAGTTCAAATGTATATGAAAAAAAACTAATCTTGCTGATTGTTCCAAGGTGATCGAACATCTCCCCCATCCCAGTGAGAGAACGTCCATGAACAAAGCAGATGGGCATTTTCTCACCACCTTCCATGTCTGCTCCTCTGCTGAATCAATCTGCACTAAATAAAAGCATATGACCTGATCGTACCCAGGCAGCTACAGGAACTCGATACGTGCTTAATTGAAAGCACACGTATTCTGAAAGACAAAAAATTGATTGGCTTCCCCCTCATAATAAAAACATAACCGAGTTCATAAAGCAGAGCTTGTGCCATTTGATTGATGTCTTTGCTTTGTCCTCTGGCGCGCCGGATGGCCGCTCTCACAATTAGGATGGAGGAACAAAGGGAAAAGACAGAAAACCATTTTTGCTGTGGCTTCAAAGGGGAGAGATGGCCTTTTCCATGAAAACAGGCACATAAAAGGCTGGGATATATGTCCCAAGGTCTTAGAATCTCTAGACTTGTGTGACCTTGTCGCTTGCCTCTCTCTTCAAAGCCGAAGAGAAAAGGTGTGAATGGAAGAGGGGGGGGGGAGGGCAAGATGAGCAATACTGTGATACCGTGAAAAGCAAGGGACGAATTTCTTTTAAAGGGCAGAGTCGAATCTCCTTATTCGGCAGGACTGACCTGCTCTGGTCCCACACGGCTGGAAATCGGCGAGTATGCCGCCCTTTGGAAATTCTGTGAAATGGCTGTGTTTCAGCCGCTCTGGGAGATGACTTGTGCTGATGACAGCAGTCTGGGCAATGTCAGAAAGGGGCACCTGGCGTTCCTCAAGGGCTAGAGTCGGGCCCTTCTCACTTCGCAGAAAATAACTAATCAAGTAAACACAAACATGCGCCTGATCCCAGCTACCTCAGGTCGCGGCTTTTTTAATGGAAAAGCTATTTTAATACGGCTAAGGTCATACTAAAGATGCCTTGACAGTCTTACTGGGATATTGCTTAACTTTCCTTGTTGCTTTGTTAAGCCTTGACTTTACCCTAATAAAATCAATTTTCAATTATATTATTGGTCCACGTTCCTAAAAAACAGATTCAACTCAATCAAGACTTCTTTGTCTGGGGGTGTATTCACATCAGGATGCCAAATCAATAACTGTTTTATATTGTACCCCTTTCCTTTCAAAAGCTAAACAGAAAACAAGAAGGTGCTGAACGCAAGGTAAGATGAAAAACAAATAAAGCTAAAAGTCAGGTGAAATTACATTACATCTGTTCAAGCTCATCACACTAACAATGGGATTACAGAAGTCTATTTTTTTCTGGCTTTCCATTTTGTTGAAAATCTAAAAACAGAGACTGCATATAGACGAAACAATATACTG